AATTAAGTTATCTAAACCAATCTGCTTTTATTGTGAACTTACCTGTCTGATAGACTTAAGGAAATCGGGTTTACCTGAAAATACCATAATGTTATAGAATTAAAATTCCTACATCACACATTCAAGATTAACACTGGTTCACAGCTTGTTCCTCTACCTCAGATAAAATATCAGTTCAATTATTATTTTTAAAATGCCCACTTAGCCTTAAATTTCCAATTGTAATGATTTTAATGTATTTAAAAGTAATTCTGCTTATCAAATGAAAGATTAAAATTCTGTAGAAACAGTATATTTCTTGTTATGTTTGTTTCTTTGGTTCACAGATTGATCTTTATTTCAAATCCAACAGAGTATTATTTCAGGAGTAAATAAACTGCATTTCTAGATGTATTGGTTGAAAATATAAAATTAGATTTTTAAAAGTGAAACATTGTGAAAATACTTTTTATGATTTATATTTTAACTATGATAACTTTATTCTTGAGTTATACAAGATTAATTGAATTAAGATTCTAGTACATGGGACATATAAGGCAAATAGCACCTTTATTAGTGCAGCAAAAGAATTAAATTACATTAAAAAGTTCTTGGCAAAAAATAGTTGCCATGCAAGATTATATATAGAGCTTCGAAGAACTATTTGAATAAACAACATATGTCCCAAAAGGTGAAGATTACAGTAACAAGAACTATTTGAACAAACAATTCGTGTCCTCAAAGGTGAAGATTACAGTACTAAGAACAATTTGAACAAACAACACGTGTCCTCAAACGTGAAGATTAGGGTGCTAAGAACTATTTGAACAAACAATATGTGTCCAACAAGGTGAAGATTACAGTATTAATAACTATTTGAACAAAGAATATGTGTCCCAAAAAGTGAATATTACAGTATTAAGAACTACTTGAACAAAGAATATGTGTCAAAAAAGTGAAGATTACAGTATTAAGAACTATTTGAAGAAACAATTCGTGTCCTAAAAAGGGAAGATTACAGTATTAAGAACTATTTGAAGAAACAATATGTGTCCCACAAGGTGAAGATTGCAGTATTAAGAACTATTTGAAGAAACAATATGTGTCCTAAAAAGGGAATATTACAGTATTAAGAACTATTTGAAGAAACAATATGTGTCCCACAAGGTGAAGATTACAGTATTAAGAACTATGTGAACAAACAATATGTGTCCCACAAGGTGAAAATTACAGTATTAAGAACTATTTGAACAAACAATATGTGTCCCACAAGGTGAAAATTACAGTACTAAGAACTATTTGAACAAAGAATATGTGTCCCGAAAAGTGAAGATTACAGTATTAAGAACTACTTGAACAAAGAATATGTGTCCCACGAGGTGAAGATTACAGTATTAAGAACTATTTGAACAAACAATATGTGTCCCACAAGGTGAAGATTACAGTATTAAGAACTATTTGAACAAACAATATGTGTCCCACAAGGTGAAGTTAACAGTTAGTAAACAAAAAGTGTTCGTTTCTTTACCTTTTATAGGAACACAGTTTTTTGAAATAAACGAAAAACAACTTAATCGAATACTTAGAAGGTCATATCCATAAGTGCAGTTAATACTGATATTAAAGCCGATATGTAAATTTTTATTTGCTTGCACATCATTTATTTGATCTTTTGGAAGTGCTTTTTGTACTAGAGCCTAAAGACCTATGAACAGGGCTATTTTTAATGTGATTTTTAGGCCTTTCTATAAGAGCCTATGGAATAATCTTCGTTTTTTTTGGTTTGTTTACACTTACACACAAGTAATTTATTTCTGTTTTTGCATATAAAATTGTATAATTGTCTCAGGGCATTTCAGTTCTTTTTTTTTTGTACGGATTAAGAGTACTCTTAATACTTCAGGTTATCAAGAAGATGATGTTATTATAGTTTAAAAAAACATTTGGGATTATTGTATTACAGTCGGACACGTGGAAAAATGTTTTAGTAAAGAGTTAAACAATTGTTGTTAATATCCAATTAAGCACGCTCTTTGACCATAAACAAGATTATGTAGTGTGTCCCCCGGTGGGACAGTAGTAACTCTTCGGATTTACCACTCTAAAATCAGGGGTTCGATTCCTCTCGGTGGATTAAGCAGATAGTCCGATGTGCAGAGGATCATCAGTGCAGCGAGGAAAATAAAAAAACTCAATTCTATACAAAGAAGAAATCATTCTAACCTGAAGAACCACTAGTTTCCTTGAGTTAAATATGTTTATATCATTCGTCACATAAATTAAGTTTTTAAAATACTATCTTGTGAGATCAAAGACCTTTGAATATATTTCTGTACATAAAGTGATACAATGGTAGTCCGTCAAATTATATACTTAAAATTCTGTGAGGCAATAAAAATTTAATAGAATATAATAATTTTAAAAAGTTACTTTTCGAATCTATGATCAATAACGTTATTAAAAAATGTAGGCTCGTTTGCCACTGGCAAATATTCAGACCACAAAACGACAAGTAAAATAATTTTAAAGGTTGTCAATATTCTCACAAATATTTACAATGTTCATGTAAATGGAGAGAAATGATAAAAACTATAGATTTATGTTTATATACATCTATTACTGAGGAAGTTTCTGCTTTGATACACCACCTGTGGAATTTCATAGTGAAACTGATTTGTATTTTTGTAGTTATAAAATGTCACCGTTCAATGAGTAATACATAAATTCATAAGATTAAAGACATTATTTGCACACTACGTTTGGTCACTGAACTCCGTCTCTGATATTTACCCAGGATCTTATGCTCGAAGACATTAATCGATCGATTATTTTAAGGAAGTTTATGTATAATAAAAGAAATGTAAGTTCGATAAATATAATAGGACGTGTTATCTCATAGATGAAGTGATGCATAAAGGTACTGTGACATTGCTTGATAAGAGATATAGTTTTACTGTGGAGCGATGCTGTGGTATTTTAAGATGGAAACTGATTTCCTGAAAGTATCAGATAGTTAGCCCCGCTAATAACAGCAGGAAATTAGGAGATAAATCTGTATTTGATAACTTCGCTGAGTGTTCCTAGTGTATGTGTGAAATAATGAAGACAAGGTAAACAAAATGAGCGCAACCTTTATTATGAAACATACAAAAGAGAAAACGTAACATACGTACTTGAGCGTACGAAAAGACGGTCATTTCTGGGCTACAATTAGATTCACAGCTTTCTTTCTCTCAGAATAGATTTTTGTCGAACCAAACACGCTGGTCTACAATAGGACTACACTTGTCGATCTCTGAGTAGAAACTAGGGAAGTGTGTTTCAATTCTACAGGTAAATTCGATTTCTTTGTCCAGTCGACAGTGTCATTTCTTGAACTATGTTCCCTCACACCACTGATCGGCCAGCAAAAGATATTTTAGTCACTAATCCTTGAATCCGATGCTATATGTTATTACAATATCCTTTTGGGCAGAACATACACTATTTACTATAGAGAAAAAAGCAACTACAACAATCTGAAGCACGTGTTTACACTAAAAATGCATGAAAACTAACTAAACAAAACATTTTACAAATTTTTACAAACCTATAGCACATAGAAATAATGTAATATGCCTGCATATTACACACAAGATACCATGGAGTATTTACATTTCTTTGTTTCGTTATATAGTTTGTTTGTTTGTTTTTGAATTTCGCGCAAAGCTACACGTGGGCTATCTGCACTAGCCGTCCCTAATTTAGCAGTGTAAGACTAGAGAGAAGGCAGCTAGTTATCACCACCCACCGCCAACTCTTTGGCTACTCTTCGTTATATAGATGGAGTGATACATAAAGATAATATGAAGTATTTATAAACCGAACTTATAACATCGATCTCGGGCTTCAGTGTATAAATCAGCAGAGTCTCCTCAATATAGAAGCTTTGAACATTATTAGTCCTAACCAAGACCTTCAATTAGAATTTACCAATACGTTACATCTATCTTGGGCGTGTGTGAGTATGTTAGACTTAACTAAAGACCTAGCCTTAGCATTTTATACGAGTTATTAACTTTCTCTATGTGGAACCAATATAACCCTACTGACATAAAGAAATAGCTTTGAACATTATTAGCCCTAACCAGGACCTTAAATTAGAATTTATCAATACGTTACAGCTATCTTGGGCGTGTGTGAGTATGTTAGACTTAACTAAAGACCTAGCATTAGCATTTTATACGAGTTATCAACTTTCTCTATGTGAAACCAATATAACCCTGCTGACATAAAGAAATAGCTTTGAACATTATTAGCCCTAACCAGGACCTTAAATTAGAATTTACCAATACGTTACAGCTATCTTGGGCGTGTGTGAGTATGTTAGACTTAACTAAAGACCTAGCATTAGCATTTTATACGAGTTATCAACTTTCTCTATGTGGAACCAATATAACCCTGCTGACATAAAGAAATAGTGGATTTTCACACAACAAAATGAGATTGGTCTTTAAATTAAAAAATAGAAAGTATTAAGAGGACAATTAGGTTTAAAAATACATCTGAACTGTATCTGCAGATCACATTTTTCAAGGAATATTTTCCCATATAAGATAAACTAATAACCACAATATTTTCAGATACATCATAAACACAAGATGTAAATACACTTCGCTTATTTAAATAACCACAAAATATTCTTTCAACAAAATGATTTTACAAATCATTTTTACATAAGAATTCTTTGATGTTTAAAAATTTTATGGTACTAGGTAGCTTATAAGCACAATGAAAGAATATTTCAACTAAATTTTTATTAAAAACATTGGGAATGAAGCTCTCAAAATTATTTATCTCAAAATATGATAAACTTCATATTTAAACTTTCCGTTATAGTTTTTTATGAGAGTGTCCAAAAATGAAATTTTGTGATCCTCCTGGTTTTCAACAGTAGATTTAATATTTTATTCAATACTGTAAAAATCCGGAAACTAGTTCTGAATTATTAAAGACATTAAAAGTGTCATCAACATACTTACGATAGTGGAGGGGTTTGAATTGTAATGAATAATTGTCCAGTCATTGCTTGTTATGAAAACATAAACATAGGTCGGCGAGAGATGGAGAAGATCTTGAACTCATAGCGACATCATCAATCTAATCATATAACTTCCCATTCAGGATGAAGTGATAATCCTTGATAGCAAAGTGGATTAACTTCGAAAAACATATTTTGTAACATTAAATTCATTAGAGTTACTGTTGTTAACTAAGTTATTACATAGCTGTATCGTTTTTATAATGGTATATTGGTATAGAGTGATCCGATATCAAAATTAGCACAGTGAAGATTATCATCAAACTTCAATTGTTTAATTTCCTGACAAAACTCAAATCTGTTTTTTAATGTGTATTCCTTTGCAGTAAATTTCTTTAGAATGTCTACTAAAACTCTAGCCAAAGCATTACTGTATGTTCTAATGTTAGATACTTTAGGTCGTAAGGGACATTCTTCTTTATGATAGAAGATTCCTGGATGACTTTCTGTCCCACTACTGTCCTTCATTGGTAATTGTAACAAATATTGTTCTAACTTAATTTCCTTTTTATCAGTAGGATCATACTGTAATTCAAGAAATCTAGTAGAGTAACTTATAAGTTCACCAGCTTTTCTTAAATATTCATTTTTATATAAGATGGCAATACTGTTTTCTTTATCGTATTTTGAAATAACAGAATCGTCATTTTTACTAAGACTTTTCAGAGCTTCAAATTATTTTGAACTTAAATTTGTTTTGTTATATAGATAGAGTGATACTTAAAGATATAAACATTTTATGATGAGTGCAGCTTGAGCCATTGAGAGATAGATAAAGAAATTCACGTGTTTTTCAGCACTTCAAGCAAGATGAGTAAAGATCAGTCGCTTATATCCTTTTTAAAGAGGAACTTAAACTCAAAATATAGCGAGATTTTTGAGTAGTAGTTACGAACAAGTAAATCTTTTCCCGCGGGATTTTGTTTCATAAAAGCCCCGGCCATTGAGAGTAAATACGTAGGTTTCGTTGATTAATTTATTTTTTCTTCGTGAAGAGTAACGAAAAAGTAACTCTTCGGGGGATGTTCAGTATGTGGCTAAAGTAGAAGGTAAAAACAAATAGTTCTTCAAAGTGATTCTAGCATGTAACACAACTAACTATAAGTGAAAAACAAAACACATTAACTCTCTAAGGGATGGCTGGCATATGAAAAATGCAACTATAGAACACTTAACTCTTCGATATATGTCTGGCATCTAACGTAATAAGAAATAAAAAGAAATATTTCTTCAAGGGATGTCAGTAGTAAGGGCGATACTTACAAGGCAAATTGCTGATTGGCTGCTTCAGGCTATAGGGAGAGGGGGTAGAGAAGATGACGTCCACGAGAGAGGGGTGACATCATAGTTCGACACCAAAGGATCTGGTGTTTCAATAAGTAGATGGTGTTACTCGTGTGTTTTTCTTATAGCAACGCCACATCGGGCTATCAGCTGTGTCCACCGACGGGAATCGAACCCCCAATTTTAGCCTTGTAAGTCCGGAGACTTACCGCTATATCAGCGGGGGACATGGCATTACTAAGGCCAGTGTTACTTCAGGTGGATGGTGTTATTAAAGGCTATGTTACTATAGGCGGATAGTTCAATACTGAACTATCCTATGATAAGCTTATCGTATGGTGTCTCAACATGTGATTATATCATCAACATTGTTGTCTATATTTAATTATATGTCTCAAAAAGTGACAAGTCAAACTATTATTTGAACAAGAAAGTTAGTATAGCTGATTGTATTTTCCAAGTAAGACTATTATTTCAGGAAACAACTGTTATAACATAACTGATAATTTGTATTAAATTTGTCTTGTTAAAAGCTTTTAACTAACCTAATATCTTAATTTATCCACTATTTGTATGAGGCAAATATTATAGCATAGTCAACAATTTACCTTACATACTTTTACAGTTATCCATTGTTTGTATGAGGAAAATATTATAGCATAGTCAACAATTTACCTTACATACTTTTACAATTATCCATTGTTTGTATGAGGCAAATATTATAGCATAGTCAACAATTTACCTTACATACTTTTACAATTATCCATTGTTTGTATGAGGCAAATATTATAGCATAGTCAACAATTTACCTTACATACTTTTACAATTATCCATTGTTTGTATGAGGCAAATATTATAGCATAGTCAACAATTTACCTTACATACTTTTACAATTATCCGTTGTTTGATACACTATACAGTTATCTGTCCTGAAAAGTTTTTATCACACCTAATGTTCCATTTTTACAAATAAAACCAATACTTGAATGAGACAGTTACATTAATATTGTATATCTGATTGTGTTTTTCATGATTTAAGCACTGATTTAGTACACATTTAGTGTAGTGTAGTATATGATTATAGTTTTCGTTTCTATATCTAGTTTGCATGATATACGTTTTACATTTTCTGACATCTTACACGTAAAACACTTCTTGCTAATTCATTTGTTACATTTGTATAATTAATATATTGTATAACATATTTTCATATATATTCGCCCTGCAAAGGATGCTTATTTAAATCTAAATAATATACAATCATTTAAATTTCATGTTTAACTTTATAAGTTAATATATATAATTGTTTCATTAAAGTTTATTTTTAAAGGAACTATGTAAATACTTATGTTTAACCATTATCATTTAAAAAAATTATATTCTTATCTTTCCGTGAAAATGTTCACAAATCTTTGTCTGGAGCTTGTTTCTTGCTGGATTGGAACTTTATGCATAATGTTGACTAGATATTCTTCAAAAACAGGCTCGATAAACTATGATTTTAGGAATACGAGGTATATTGTTAAAAAGGATAATATACCACTCTATGTAAGCAATATTCTTACAATTTTAATGTAGAACTTGTCGTTTCGTAAACGAACTGATTACTAAACACTGAATGAAAGATAGCTAGCTCTCTCATGCAAGCTCCAAGCAGTGTCAACCCTTTCGACCCTACTGGTAATTTTGGTCTGACTCATCAATTCTGATGACACATAAAAACACGTGACTCCTAGAGCCGTTGTTATATTACGCTGACTAAATGATTGAAGTACATTGCAAAAACAAAAGTTAAACAAAACATTTGAAATAAAGTGTATGTTTACATTATATCAAAACTGTTTTAACTTAAGTTGTTCAAACTCTACATAATGTAAGAATAGTAGATTATAATTTTACTTTATTAGTTGTACATTTTACTTTATTATTAGTACACTTTATAATGACCCAAGCATATATTAGTCTAATTATTTGTTGACAAGCGAGAAATTCTATTTCCATATTATTTCAATTTTTCACTTTATGTATATTATAACATTTATTAATTCACCAAAGCATCAATTACATTGTTCACAAATAAATATAGTTTATTATAACCAAAAAAAGTTTGTGTACAATGTTGTATTTTGCAGAGTTTAATAGTAAATAAATATTTTTTTCTAAATGGAGTTGAATATCATAATGTAAATAGTTGTTGTGTACAATAAAACAGTTTTATACAAAATATCCCAATTCTGTTGTTTCTCACAATAAAAGATATGGTATACAAGAAAAAACACCTCTATTCACTGTACAATGTTTATCATCATAGGATATTCTCCCTGTTTTATTTTTTAAAAAAGTACCAAAATAATCCTTAAAGAAATGTCTAGGAATCAATATCTTCATTACTTGAAATCAGCTGGTTTTTTTTCCAAAAATTAATTTGCCTATATTAGAAGTTAGATGTTGACATTTCAAAGTAAAATTTTGTTACTTTTTAATATTCTTAATATATATCAACAAGCTTCAGATCTCGTGAAATGATGAATAATTGTTATAATTGTTATTTTTATATAAAAGTCATTTTTCATCACATTTAAATACATTTTAAGCAGCTATTATGAATATATGTAAGTACAATCACAGACTTAACAAGTACCACACGTGCTGAAACATTTATTAAAAAACGTTAAGAATTAGATACAGTTTTCGCCAATGAAAATAGATACTACAGTAGCAAAAAGCAAAATGTTGTACACCTATTTACCAACAAAGAGCATTTTTATGATGATCTCAAAATCACTCTGAGAGCTGATAACATGTGTCTCATCCCTACTAATCTTTAACTTCGAGGCTATGGGCGAATACAGGCTTTTCTTTTCACTGACGAAAATAGACACTGCAACAGCAGTACATATTATTGTACTAAAGTGTCAATTTAAGAAAGGCTATATTCCTGGATGGATGGTTCACAAGAAAATAGAGGTATCCTTTTTGTTTTTGATAAATTATCTTGCAAGTTTACTATGAATGTTTAGTATCAACCTAAACAAATGATATAAGATCGTAGTTCCCTCTCTAAAGCTTGAGGTTTTGTTGATAAATGTTAGAAACATTCCGTTCATGAGTGTAATTGAGTAGAAAGTATACAAGGATTTCACGTTGACTGAAATGTATTAAATGTGTATAAAAGTTAATTTGACTTTTCAGCATTTTCTAATCCATACTTGTTTCAGTTTGTGTTATTACTAAATATCAAAGGTTATCGAACTGTCAGATTGTTGGTGGAAATTGTCCTTCAGATAAATTTGACGAACTCAACCAAAATTGCGAGATGAATGATAATGTTATTTTTTTAAGTGTCTAAAGAATTACATTCTGAAGAAGTTAAACTATGTATATATCTTGGTAAGTTATATTTGTAAACAAGAGTAGTTTTAAACTAGAAATGTGTGAGTTCTAGATCAAAAACAGAAAGTAGTAACTTAAAAAGAAAATATATTGTTACGACAGCAGAAGTCACGCGACTCATGCGCGCTGGAGTTTCTCGAAGGATCATGAATTATCGGGGAAGACCGAGTTTGTTCAGGATACCCTCTTTTTCAGTATATAAGCCTGGCGAGAAAAACCAGCAGGATTGAAGAGATAGATAATTGAGTCAAGCGAACAGTAGGCACCGTAAGTTAGTGTGTTAATCACTGTGATTTATAGCGTGTGTTATAAAAGTTGTTAAGTTTAAAGTGACTGTGGAAATTCT